TTCCCCATTATTGCTGACTAGTCCAGCATTTTTCTGCTGCTGAACTGGACTCATCCTTCTACCTGGTTTGCCCAGTGACATCACAATCCAGGGCTTGTGACAAGTGTCAAAGGGATGGCATCTGCTGGAATTTGATATGGCTGCTGCACATCACAGATTCTATTCTCACGTCACCTGAACTGGCCTATTGACAACATATAGAGCCATTGGCAGGAGGGTAGAGTCTGAGTTGTAGAAATTAAGACTAGCCAAATAGGGGGCAGATTATTAACAACAATTATTTAGGGGAAAAGGCCAAGATTTTCAAACACAACAATGTTCCAACAAGTGATTCTGGGTGCCTCCATTTTGGCAACCAAACTTGAGACACCTGAAAGGGGCCTGATTTTCAGAAAGTGCAGAAACCCTCTGAAAGAAAGGCCCCTTTAAAACATCACAAGCTCAGCACCCAACCTTACTTTTGAGAGTCTTGGTCATAGCTCTTGACCTCTAGAGAATGTCAAAGACTTCTCCCACTGCTGGTACACCCCCTCTTGGCTGGGTACAGCATAGCAGGCTCTTTGTCCATTGAGCACCTAACAGCCGCTCCAGCCCTGCCATGGTCTCTCTTCCAGTAACTCAGCCAGGTCAGCATTTAGTTGCACCCCTTTCAGGATAACAAGAAGTCCAAAAGATAAGTCTCTCCATCCAGCCCACAGTCCTTGATCTAGGGCCAGTGGGTCATATGCCCCTTCCTCCGGGCTTCCTCCCATCCCTTCCCTTCTCAGGGGCGTATGCCACCTCACCAATGGCAGATAGGAGAACCCAGGTTCACCCTCAACACTGGATTCCAGTCAGGGACCCTAAGACAGACAGTCAAGGTTCAATCCCTCCAACTCCTTGCTGCTGTCTTCCTAGACTTCTTCCTATCAAGCTTGCAAGCAGGGCTCTCCCACAGCTTCTTCAAGCTTACCCTTCCTACAGGGGCTTGGATTCACAGGGCTCTCCTCTCAAATCCCCCAGTAAATCCCAGAATAAGAGTATTAACTTAACCCCCCCGTCTGCCCTCCTCAGGCTTGAGTTTGCAGCCCTCTTGCAGCCCTCAGCGGAAAACCTCCAGGACACAGTCCACTCTCTTCTCCCAGCAAGAGACTGTAAAACTCCTTCCTGTCTTTGTGAGCCACACTTCCTTTCTTTATAGTAACCCCAGCTCCTCTCCCAGCTGGGATTCATCAGTAATTGGGCCTGGCCAATCCTCCAGGTGCAACTAGGTACCTTAATTGAGAGCTCACCTCCAGTTAACCGTTTTTGTGCCAGTGTGGTGTAGACCCCCATCACACTTCCCAACAGTCTAGCAGTTTTCTTTCAACTCAATAACTACCACCTGCAAAGGTCCAAAAGGGGAAATATTTTGCAGGATGCTTTTGACAACCAGACCTTATTTCACTGTGGTTTGTACCACGGCCTTTTCTGATGTTTCAGACAGCACAGTGATTTCCTCCAGAAGGCTTCACTTGATGGCCACCATCTCGTATAAGCTATAGGACAGGTTAAGACTCTGTAAAAGATCTGGAGGGCCCCTAGACACAATTCTCAGAAAGATGATGGATTTATTCCAATAGGAGCAAGGGAGTTCACAAATGAAGTAGTTATTATATTGCATCTTGGAGTGAGGGTTTGAAAATATGGGAAAGCTTTGTCACTGTTATAGTTAAAGCTGCAAGACACAATCACTTTGCAAACTCCATTTCATTTGGATTAACGTGCTTTAGATTAGCAAGTCATTGGGACAGAACACATGCTATAGGACTGGCTGGTCTCAGACAGACAGATATGTAACACAACAAGGATTAACATGTCCTGCCCTTTCTTTCACATTTTTAGAGAGTCTGTCTGAATACCTCAGTGCTTCGCAAAAGGCAAACAAAAAACAGAGTGAATGGCTTTGGGCAGACCCAAAATCCAGATATCTGAAATGCTCCATTATGGCTAACACTTTCCTGCTGAAACCAGAGTGCTGTACAGTGCTTTCAACACCTGGTGGTGAGCAACTGCACATCCAACAACCTGCCTGGGACAATGAGGGAGAGGTTTAATTAAGCATTTTTATGTCTCCACATCGAAATATACAAATGCAGATCAAGCAGTCATATGCACCAACCATGATCTTTTGTATATATCAGAAGCACATGGCTATTTGATCTACTTTTGTTACCCCTATGTATCCCCATTTCATACAGTCCAGGAAAACAACAAACTATTGTATCTCGGTACAATGAAGCCTCCATACTAACATCTATCTTGAGGAAGCTATTTAAAATGAAGATAAGTTTATCTGGTAAGAAAAATGTAAAACATCATGTTTTGTACAAAGCATTAAATTCAAGGGGCACTTTCCACTTGAAATCTGGTCAGTTTCCAAAAATTAGTTTAAAGGCGTTTCAGGTACTGCATCTGCCCCTGAAAAACTCCCTGCTGATTCTGGTGACTTTACAGAGATATTTTGCTGTCGTTAAATGTTTTTCTCTCCACTGCTACTGTGTGAAAGACCCACACAAATACCAGAAGAGTAACTGACTGTTCACGAGCAGGGGCGGCTCTATGTGTTTTGCCGCCCCAAGCACAGCAGTCAGGCGGCTTTCGGAGGCACGCCTGCGGGCGGTCCGCTGGTCATGCCGATTCGGCAGCGTTTCTGCGGGAGGTCCGCCGGTCCCGCGGCTTTGGCATCCCCGCCGCCGAATTGCCACCGCATCCGCAGGACTGGTGGACCTCCCGCAGGCATGCCGCCGAAGGCAGACTGACTGCCGCCCTCACAGGGACCGGCAGGCCGCCCCCCGCGACTTGCCGCCCCAGGCACGCGCTTGCTGCTCTGGTGCCTGGAGCCGCCCCTGTTCACGAGACAGTGAAATGCACAAAGTCAGCAAACTTCTCTAATCTCCTTCACTTATAGGGGTTTGATGGGTTACTCGAGGCAACAGTAGATTTAAAAAAAAATCACGCAGCTGTAGAAACTGCCAGCTGGGGACTCGTCTGGAGAACGTGCTTTATTCTTTAGGCAGCTCTACTCACCACTGTGCTCTTACAGGCCTGATCCAAGGTCCACTGAAGCCAAAGAAAAGACTTCCCTTGACTGCAATGGACTCTGGATCTGCTGCATCAGTTCTGCCGGTGGCATCTCTAATTCTGGCATTTCTAACAGGATCTGCATGAAACTAGATTCTCAGCCGCAGAGAAAGGATCAAAAGATATGAAAGGATCGATCCATATCTCACAAATAGGGCAGTGTGTATCGTTTGCAGGAACTGCATATTCCCATATCACTGAGTCAGACTCACTTGATAAAGCACAGCCATCTCTATCTGGGCCTCCTCTCTGAAACCTGTGCTCTCAGAAACAGCATCTGTTCCAGGGACTTAGATCAAGTCCAGCTTCCTCAACGCCAGCCAGATCAACAGGGCATGGGAGGATTAAGGCCCTTTCAGACAAATGTAATTAAAATATACAGTATTGAACCAAGTAAACAATGCACACATTCAGCTCCGCGCCTTGTGACAAACCTTATAGTGCATGATTTTACCTTAAAATACCTTAGTTCTTCTGTGTCCTGCTGAGCTAGTTGAGTGGCTGTGAAGGGGAGTTGCAGGACAGTCTGAATTGACACTCACACTGTAAGTGCTCATGGGCTGCAGTGCGTACAGTTTTCTTTGTAAGAAAGGCTTGAAGCGTACGACTTAAAAGTGTCACATTTTTGTAAGACATGATTTATCATCGAATGTAAGAGCTTGAATCTCCTTTCACTTACACTAGTGTAAATCGAGCATCCACACTGAATTCGGTGGAGTTACACCATGTAATACCCAGTGCAAGAGGAAAAATCAGGCCCTGAGATTCTAGGGTAAAAAGAGCTTTAATCCTATTGGGCATGCAGAGCCAGCAGACATTGGGAAACCTGGAGGACATCCTTTGCATGCAAGCTCAAAAACATGTATGCATTTTAGCTCATAAAGACTGTTGTCTAGCTTCCCAAAGGCCATCCCATTACCTCTTATTAGGGTGTCAGATCCACAGGCTTACAATGTAAACTTAAGGCCCCCAAGACATTCTGATAACCAAGGCAATATTTTAATTTGAAAAACAAGTTTGTTTTAACATTAACTCCCTCATCCACTTTCTCGTAAAGCTACAGGCAGCAATGATCGTATAAATAATGGAGCTCTGTTTAGCTTCACAGGGCATGATGCAAGCATTTTCTTTTTTGTCACCAGATATGGAATTCACCTGGGTTGTTTACTTGTTTTGAATTTAATGCATCAAAAATCTCAAAGTGAAACTTAACTGGAACAGCTGAGAGTCCCCCGGCTGTGTGTTAAAGCAAGAGAAGAGTGAATATCATATGATAATTATATATATCTTACACTAGCATCCAAAATCTGAAATAATAATAAGAGAAACTCAAGACAATTAGAAGAATCTAGATGAGCAGCTTGGTTCTTTCCCATCTCTATAATTCCCTGTCTTCCTAAATTCTGATTTTTCTCATTCTTCATTCATTCCTACTGATTACAGCTCTTTCTGTTGTTGTAAAGCACTCATCCACAAATGTTCAGTACAATGAATCCTTTGACAGGGAGGCGTTATCTTAGCATACCATATGCCCAATGGCAACATATATCAACTTTATCTTTTCCACTCATGGACGAGGTGAAAAGTCTAATGACCACTATGCAAACTGGCTTGATTTGGAATGGGACGTTTACACAATGGTTCTCATATCGCCCATTGCAGCGACTTAGCATCAACACTTACTGCATGTATCCCCAGATGCAATAACCTTTATTTATGAGGAGCAATCTGTTCCCCATGCTATGGCTGGTATTATGTGACAAACAGCAAGGAGGAAAAAGAAAGATTGATGGCGTAACAGGATGACAGCCCAAGCCTTTGAAGAGAGAGGGACAAAAAGCGGGGTGATGTGGTGCATAACACCAGTGCTATGGAGGGCTCCAACCGCTAAGCTAAGAATGTGGCTTCTAATCACTGTTCTCTCCTCTCTCGTTCTCTGTTCGGCTGTGGAGGAAATTGCTCTTGAGGAGGGGATACCTTGTTCAAAGTACCAGGTGGCTTTCAACCTTTCGTGCTATGAGTTTGTGAGACTCCAGCGCACTTTCACGAGCGCCCAGAGCTGGTGCGAGAGAGGAGGGGGGCACCTCGTTTTTATTGAAAATGAGAAAACTCAACAGTTCTTGCAGAAACATATCTCCGAGGACAGGGAGTGGTGGATAGGACTGACCTCAAGTTCCCTTCTGAATGAAACTACAGAAGGTAGGTGATCTCAAAAGAGAAATAGTGCCTTCTTTTAAGTTAGGTTGCAACTTGAAAGAGCTATTACATCGCTGTAGTAATGCAAGGAAACCCTACTGTAGGGTTCTGCTGATGAGTCATTCTTGTTCTAGTATCATCAGATGACATCTAGGGGCATATACCAATGTATTACAGAGCTGCTTCTATTATGAGAGGCATCATTACCCTCTGGACCAGGAGTCAGGGGGTCTGGGTTCTATTCCCAGCTCTGCTACTGACCTGATGTGTGACCTTGGACAAGTCACTTCACCTCTTTGCACTTCTTGTCCCCCTCCCACTCTTTGCCTGCCTTGTGTATTTTGACTGTAAATTCCTTGGGGCAGAGACTGTCTTCTATGATGTATTTGTACAGTGAGTAGCCCAGTAGGGCCCAAATCTTTGGCTGGGGCCACTAGATGCTATTGCAATACAGGTCTGTCTCATCTTACACTGGGGTTACGTTCCACAGTCAGCGCCTAAAGCGAAAATCGCGTATAGTCAAAATTACATTGAGTGTAATGGCGGGTGGAATCGCCCGCACTACAGAAACAGTATTTAAATTGTTATTTCTCTCTCATATTTTGTTTTTTTGTTTTGTTTTTGTCGACCGCGTAAAGCTGAAATCGCGCCTGTTAAATGCGCCTAAGATGCGACAGATCTGTACATATAACTACTATTGTTATATGGACCCTATCTGGAAGACCTTACTGAGGTCCTCTTCAAGTTGATGGCCCATTTTAAACATGCTCACATATTCACACTCATGTAGACAAGAAAGACCATCTCAAACACAAGGCAGGACCTAATTTAATGGCTAGGGCAGGAAACTGTAAGCGAGGAAACCTGGGTTTTATTCATAGCTCTGTTACTGATTTTCTGTGTGACCTGGGGTAAAGTCATTTTATCTCTCTCTGACTTAGTTTTCCCATCTATATATTGGGGATAGAAACAATATTTAATATCTACTGTCCCGAAAGCTATAGGAATGTTATGCTTGTAACAGATGTCCTGTTTGCTTTCTGCTTAACTCATCTCAAATGCTTTATCAAAGGATTGCAGGGTTGTTCATCAGTCGTAATAATGGGCTAAATACTGCTCTGGTAACTCCAGTGTAAATCCATTGTAGACTTGCTCTATACTACAAAGTTAGAGAATGGAGTTAGCCCAGATTTTCACTGGTATAGCAGAGCAGAATTTTGCCCTTTTTTATAGATATGTATACACACAATATATACATATACACACACAAACACAGTAACTGAGTGAAATTTAAGGGCCAGTGATATGCAGGCAATCAAATTAGATGATCAAATGGTCCCTTCTGGCCTTAAACTCAATGAATTTATGAATGAATATATATGATCCAGTACCTAAACGCGATGCAAAAGGATACATTTCCTCAGTGAACATCACTGAGACTTGGAAGACTCTGTTATGAAAGGTGCTAGGCATTTAAAAACACAATTTTAAATGAATACAACCAGAGTCCCTTTCCAGTCTTCATCCCCCTCTTCCAATGGTACAAGCTGAGCTCTGTAATGTACTAACAATAAATTCCATAGGCTTTTCAGGAATAGGGTGACCAGATAGCAAGTGTGAAAAATTGGGATGGGGGGGGGGGGTAATAGGCACCTATATAAGAGAAAGCCCTGAATATCAGGACTGTCCCTATAAAATCAGGACATCCGCTCACCCTATTCAGGAACTGCAGATGAGCATTTCCATCAAAATGCAGCTTCATATAAGTTTGTCTGACAAATAGTGGTGTTTCTCCCCTCAGTCGCGTTTATGAGAATGTATTCTTATTTAAATGGCGATATAATAGACTAGAATCCCCAGTCCACCTTGTATGTCCATGGACTCTGAGACATAGGGATTGGCACAGGTTGAGGGGTGCGTTTTTGTGGGTGTCCTATGTTAAAATGTTGGAGGCACCTCAGTGTTAATATTATTATAATTCTAATCCAAGGACAATTATTCAGACAATTATTGCAGTGGCTTGGATTTCCATGGGCTCAATAGCTGCTCAGGAGGAAAACCTGAATCTCTGTCAGAACAACATGCCTACATTACTCCAGCATAAGCATTTGAGAGGCTATATAATGTTGGTGCCATATGTCTCATGACAATGGGCTTGATCCTAGCACCGCGACTCAGGCAAAACTGCCGTTGGCTTCAGTGGGAGATTTGTCTGAGTAAGGACTGTGGGACTTGCCTTAAGTTACAGCTGTGCTTCTTACTGACAATAGCCCATGTCTCCCACAAAGTGTGGCTTGAGCCTCTTCATTGGCACTCGCTACTTGGAGTGGCTGGTCACCTCTCCTCATATGGGTTGGGTTCTGGGTTCTTTTTTGTGATACCTGGTGCCTCCCCCCAAGGTGACTTCCTCATTGTGCTGAGACACAAAAGGGTGCTGTCTCTTGGGAAACCGAATAAGTTGCCACTGCTGGCAAGGAGTATAAAATCCAATACACAGGAAACAACAGAGTACATCAACACAAACCCCAGCAAAGAAATGCCACCAAAACCAACAGTGTAACAAAGGGGAACTTTACTGGGAGCAGGAAATTAGGATCTGGGGAAGGAAAGCGTTAGGGTTAATTAACAAGTACTAAAAACATCATCAAATTTCTCACCTCCCACCTCTTCCCAACCCCCAGCTGCTTCCCTGGCACCTTCCCAGGCCGATGGTACGCTGAGGGGTTGCTATGAATGTTGGCTGCATCCTCTTACAGTGTCTTTGCCTCTGGTTGGAGCAAGGGCCTTTCCTGGCTCCCCGGGCTGCAGTCCTGTGTAGGGTGACCACCTTTGTTAGATGGAGGAAAACCACAAGAAAAATAAGGCACAGCGCTTTATTTTAAGTGATATTTTAGGGAAACACCATTTCCCGTAGCTGCGCATATCACAGATTCTTCTCTCACGTGTACATTTCTACTGCCCTCAAGTACATATGCAATTATCATGATTCAATTTAATGTTTAAAATGGTACTTACAATACATATCAATACATCTTAAAATCAGTGACAGGTGGTCACCCTCAAAGGGACAAACCAATGAAATAAGGGATGGTCCCTTAAAATAAGGGATGGTTGCTCAACCTACTTGGCTGGCTCTCGGTAGCCGAGTCGGATCTCTGCCACTCAATGCTGGTCTCTGCAGGGCTGGAACTGCCTGACCCATGCGCTAGATCCTACAGAAGTTCAAGGACTCCCTTTGTGGGGAAGGGGAGTTAATCAGAGACTGACTCTGAACTGTTCTCCTTCTCTCTGAGCTGCTCCCAAACTCCAAATTGAAACTAAAACATGCCTTTATGTCTCTGAGTCAGGCCCTCCTCTCCCAGAGCAGCTGAGCAGCCCTGACTCAGCACTGGCCCAGCAAACTGCTTGACCCTATCACCTCTCTACTGACCTAAGCAGGAGTTTCTAGTCCGTTCTGTCCCAAATCCAGACTCTAGTAGCCTTGATTGTTGTAGTCTAGACTCTGGAGGCTTAGTCCAAGTTCCAGGAGCTGGCAAACTCCAAGTGATGGTTACAGACATTTTCAATGTGGTTTACTTTGTTCACAGGATCATTGATTTGGTTGGACACTTCAAATATAAGCTACAGCAACTGGCATGAAGATCAGCCATCTCTCTTAGCCAATTGTGGGTACATCCTGAAGAACGCTGGCTATGAATGGGGCATGACGGAAAACTGCAGTCAGGAGTTTGACTTCATTTGTGAATTTGGTAAGATGCACAGCAGATGGTGCTAGAACTGAGCATACTGCATTTCAGGCAATGTTTAAATTACCCAGGATTCGTTAAAAGTCATCATTCAGTAAATAAATATCAAGCTTATTTAAAAAAAACCCCCATAAAACCCAGGCAGCTGTCCCCTTTGCCTATCTGCTGGCAGAGGGAAAGATCCAGAGAGGGGTTGAGCACCAGAGTCAATGGGAGTTGTGGGTACTCAGCACTTCGATGGTTCAGGTTCTAATCCCGACAAAGGAAGTGGTTGTTGTATGATATGGATCTTGATTGCAACGAGGGGCAAGGATGGGACTACCAAAGTCATTTCCACATGTGCCCAAAGCCAAGAATAGAAGCAGGTTCCAGAGATGAAAGGCCACTGCATTCACTCACTATGCAACTAGTGACTGGTTAATTTGGACTCTGAACTCCTAGGAGCATAGGAGTAACTGGAAACCATTATCTGAGCACGTTCCTCTTGTCTTCTCTCAAACCACATCTGCTGTACGGCACTGCAGCCTGCAGTTTCCACTAAGGTAAGGAGAGGGACTAGATCCTGTAGTTCCCTCTGGCACTCCAGCAGGAGAGGAGACCAAACAAATGCAGCCTGTGGTGTCTAATTTTACCACCCAGGTAAATCCTGGCTTGGATCAAGCAGCCATGGAATGGAGTGCTGTGCTGACTAGACTACTTCCTCCAACATACGCACACACATATAAGGAGAATTTGTGTTTCTCATCGGTTTCATGTGAGTGAGGCATTTTAAGCTGCTCATTTGCATAAACTAGAGCTAAGGTCACGGGCATCTTAGTATTATTCAAGATAGTTAAGTCCAAAGCAGACTGCGAGGAGTTGGGGGGATCTCACAAAATTGGGTGACTGGGCAACAAAATGGCAGATTAAAATTCAATTTTGATAAATGCAAAGTAAGGATATTGGAAAAAATAATCCCAACTACACACATATAATGATGGGGTCTAAATTAGCTGTTAGCACCCAAGAAAGAATTCTTGGAGTCCTTGTGGATAGTTCTCTGAATACTTCTGCTCAGTGCACAGCAGCGGTCAAAAAGGCTAACAAAAAGTTAGGAACTATTAGGAATGGGACAGAAAATATCAGAATGCCACTGTATAAATCCATGGTGCAGCCACACTTTGAATGCTGTGTCCAGTTCTGGTTGCCCCATCTCCAAAGGATTTAATGGAACTGGGAAAAGTTCAGAGAAGTGCAGCAAAGATGCTCCAGGTTATGAGACAGCTATAAAGGAGAGACTAAGAAAGATTAGGGCTGTTCTACTTAATAAAAGAGACGACTAAGGGGGGTGGATTATGATACAGGCCTATAAAATCATGAATGGTGTGGAGAAAATGAATAGAGAAGTGTTATTTACCCTTTCCCACACTACAAAAATGTGGGGTCACCCGAGGAAATTTATAATCAGCAGGTTTAATACAAACAAGAGGAAGTACTTTTTCACACGACACATAACTAACCTGTGGAACTCATTGCCATGGAATGTTGTGATGGCCAAAAGCATGACTGGATTTTAAAAAGAACTGGATACATTCATGGAGGATAGGTCCATCAATGACAAATAGCCAAGATGGTCAGGGTTTCAACCCTATGTTTAGGGCAACCCTAAACCTCTATCAGAATCTGGGAAGATAGGGGTGGATCACTTCAGAAGTGCCCTGTTCAGTACACTCCCCCTGAAGCTCTGGTATGGGTCACTGTCAGAGATAGGATATTGGACAAGATGGGCTGACCAACATGGCAGCTCTTTTGCAACAGAGTCTGGTTGCAGATTGACTAATATACATAGTCTCTGAATCCCGTGTTCCGGCAGAGGCTGCTACAAGCTCTAGCAATGCTCCTGCCCTGCTCCACTATCAAGTACAGTATTTTATGTATTTAAAATTAAAAAGGGAATTTTTCTTTACAACCAGAATGATCACCCCTCTCTTTGGAAGGAGGTCAGCATTCATTACCATAGGGCCTAATCCAAAGCTCTTTAAAATCAAAGGGACTCTTTCCATTGATTTTGCTGCAATGGGGTTTGGATCAGGCCTTTAATGAGCAATATTAGAGGCTGAAACGGATTAATAACAATGGGTTCTATTACATTATTTCTTCATTAACCCAGAAATGAAGTGTAGAAACTCCTGGCATCAATCAACCATTTCAGAGATTGATCCAAATCACTGACTTGTTTTCAATATCTCCAGTCCACATCCACCGAGGCACAAATAAACTTCACTAATAGTTAGAGCAGGGGAGTGGGAGAGAGGACTAGGTCCTTGTACCAGTTCTGCATGCTATGAGTCTGATCCAATGTCCACAGAGGTCAATGGCAGTCTTTTCATTGGCTTCACTGGGTGTTGGCTTGAGCCCTATGTGATCTTTAGCAGCTCACATAACCTCATTGTGCGTCAGTTTGCCCATGTGTAAAATGGGAATCGCAGTATTTACCACCACCCCACAGGGCTATTGTGAGGGTTGAATCATATTTCTAATATGCTTGGAATCTTCAGCGTGAATGTCTATAAGGTCTGACAAACTAGTCTCAGTGCTCAGATACAATGTTGGTAAGTGCAGTATAAAAGCACAGATAGATAGATGGCCTTGTAACTAAGCTTTCCTCCCTTCTGTTGTTCTTCCCAGAACTTTTCATGCGTCTCTGTCTGCAGTTAAAGCTTCACAGACCTTGTGGGATTTATTCTTTCCATTGCACTGTTAGATGCATAATAAACCATAGCACTATACTGTAGTCAAAATACACATTTCTAAACAGGGTTTGAATGGATAGTGTTTGTCAATTAATCCTACTTTTTTAAAGCATAAATGCCAGGCAAAATTTGCTGAGGGAGCAGCTATAATGACAACCTTCTTTGTGGAAGGAAAAGAACAAAAAAAAAAAGCAGTAGATAATAGCCCCAACTAGAATTTAACAGCAAATTATGTTACAAGCTTATTTAGACAGCTCTAACCTGTAATCTGGTCATGTTGCTATAGATACAGCTAGGCTTAGATTTAGCCATTAAATAAGGATAGCACACAATTACCACAGTGTGCACACACTGGCACTGCTAATCAAGGCTTTCAAGAGGAACAGTCACAGTTGCCATTGGAGAATGATGTACTTAAATCAGGGGCAACTGAAGCAATGTTCTTCTGTGGCTCCCGTAAGTGACACCAAGGGTTTTCAGGCATCTTCTTTCTTAAATAAGTTCAGGTCATTGGAAGAATCTTAGACAGTTATCAGCTTGCCCCTCAAAGAATAAGGTATGTGTGTTTAGGGGCATGATCCTGCTATGCTTACTCACCCACACAGTCCCACTGAAGTCAATGGGACTTCACATGTGAGTAAGGGGTGCTTCCATGAGTAGGCTACAGTCAAGCCCCCATTGAATAAGTAGGCTTTTCTCCTGGGCAGCTTCCTGAGCCTAACGCAGATCACACATTACCTAGGAGCTGTTTCTGATCTTACAAGTAGCCTGAAACCTTTAAGTATTGCTGGTCAAAACTTTTACATGAAAAAATTTTGAATTAATATTTTTTCAATGTTCTTCATTTTTAATTCACTTTAAATTTTTTAAAGAAATTAACTCTGTAAAATGTTCTTCTTTTGGTTTTCAAAACAAAAAAAAATGATGTTTTTTGTTCTTTGCCCCCCACCCCTTTTCTTTTCATTTTCCCCATTTTCTTCTTCTTTTTCTTTAGTTGTTGTTATTGTTCTACTGGGTGAGAAGAAAAAAGAGAGAGAAAGGGGGAAAACAACAAAAACCGAAAATTTTTGGTTTACTTTTTTTTGTAAAAAAACCCCCAGAACTTTCAATAAAATGAACCCAAAACAAAAGGCATTATTCATTAAAAACATTGATGAAAAATTACAGCCAACTTTACCTTTTTGTTTCCCATCCCAGTGTCACTTAAACTTGTTTTTTTTAATACACACACTCAGCAGAGCCTTCTACACCTCACTTCCTCCACACCGCAAATACAGCTTTTTGCTCATTCTAACAGGCATTGAGGAGCCAGTATGCTAAGTCGAGACTAGAGCAAGAGCTGATCAAAAAAGGGGGAGGGAACTGCAGTTTCCCCCCCAAAAATCCCCCCCCTTTTTTTCAGAAATTCACAATTCTTAAACATTTCAACCAGCTCTGTAGTTGTTCAAAAATGGAGACGGTGTCATGAAAATTCCATCTGAATTCCCCCGTTTTTTCAAAAAAAACCAAAAACCAATTCAAAATAACTTTAGTTGAGACCCACCTTCAGGAATCACCATGGGGGTCTCATTTCCTGGGCAGGATAACACCACACAGATTCCTGGTAGGGGAGAAGCTGTTCCTAGTCCCTGTGGCAGAGGATGCACTGTATATCCTTGTCTGAGATGACATCTGTTCTTCCTTTCCCATCAGAATCTGGCCAGAGCCTTGCTTGTGATAACTTCAATGCCACCATGCAATGTGGATCAGGAGAAGTCATTCAGATTGGTGACAGTTTCTATGGGCGGAAGACCCCTCACTACTGTGTATTGGAGACTCCCCTCCAGCTTGACACAGAGGAGGATTGCAGCTGGACCAGTGTCAAGGATGAAGTAGTAGGTAAATATCTCATTGCAGCATTTGTCAGAGTTCTACAGTAAGCACTACAATGTGTGGTACCTAAAACAACTGACCTTGCTTTATGTCTGTGGATGTTCATGGGTCAAATTCTGCTCTCAGTAACACCTGTGCAAGGCCAGAGTTGAGTTTTACATTAGTGTCACTGACAGCAGAATTTGGCCCATTACTGGCAAATAAAAACTACATATACGCAAGCTTGATTCTAGCTGCCTTCTCGTATATAGCCCATTGTCCAATGGTTAGGCCACTAATCTAGGACTTGGGAGATCTGGATTCATGTCCCTATTCTACCAGAGACTTCCTGAGTGACCTTGGGCAAGTCACTTGACCTCTCTGTGCTTCAGTTTCCCATTTGTAAAATGGGGATGATAACAAAACTTTTCTGCCTCACCGGGGTGTTGTGAGGATAAATACACTAAACATGGTGAAGCGCTTTATGCTGTACTGATGAAAAAGCTTTATACAGAAGCTACGTGTTATTACTATTCAGCTATGCACTTCTTACATTTTTAGTTTTACTCATTTTTTCACAGCATGATCAAAAGCTCTCACTGTCATTTCATTGCAGTTTTCTCATCAGTAGAGTTGAGGTTCATGCCTTGTTCATTCTTTCTATCAGACTAAGATTTTATGGAACACATTTAATTGTTTATTGCTAAGGCAGAGCCCACTGACAGTTGAAGTGAAACCTCATGGAAGAAAAGTACATGCAGGTGAAAAAGACTGGTATTTATCCACCAGATTTTAGGCTACAAAGTTTTCTGTTCACTTGGGACTTTATTCATCCATTGTTCCCTGTGCACAAATCCCAAGTCAATTTCTTCCCACATTTCTCTTGTCTCTCTGGCATGGAACCTGCACAATATTATTGACTCTAATTCATTATTTCATCCTTATGTTTATCTTTCCATCCTATTTAGTTATCATGTCAATTTCATCTACTAAACACCTAAAAATTGGGTTCTACTTTATAATTGACATAACCATAAATTCAATGCACATCCTTGTTCCTTCCACTTTTGTAACAGTAATAGTTTTTTTGCTGGTCTCCATCCAAAGCATGACTGATTCAAAAAACCATACAGCTTGTCTGATCATCTATTCCTGCCCCTCTTTTCCCCATTTTGCTCAGAAATCGATGGCATGAAAATGCCCTTTTTTTACTTCAATAGCCACCTTTTCTTTGAGTTGTTGTGAAGTTTAAAGTTTGGTACTTTAATCTATCAAATGCCAGTGCACATGAGACTGTGATGCTTTCCAGGGCAGTGTCACGGACTCCAGGCGTGCCAGGTGGCATCAGATGGGACCTTCTTTGGAGATCCTTGTCCTACATTGGGGAGCTACTTGTCTGTTCAATATCACTGCATGGAAGGTAAGTATTAAAGTTGTAGCCATAGTGCCCATACTGTACAATGTTTTAACATTATGACTGGTGACATAGCTCCTTAAAATAGTTTAAGAAGCTAGAGATGGGTCTGAACCAAGAATATCAGACATGGATCTTAAATTCCCCAGTATTGGGATCCATCACACAGAGAAAGCCCCGAGTGGAGAAGTTCAGGTCCAGATCAAAATTTCCCCCAAATCCCAGGGGTTCCATCTATACTGTTCCAAGTTCAGGTCCAACTTTAAAGACAGACATTTGCTTTCTTTTATAATTTAATTATATGTGTGTGAGTGAACTCAGTACTTGTGAAAGATCCTGGCATGTTAGCAGTGGAGATTTTAATGTATCCACATGTAACCTTTCTGCCAGTGGTGTTGGCAGCAACAAGGGCCAGATCCTTATTTTAGGGGATTTTCAATAATTCCTTAATTTTTGGTTCGAACCCTCATCCAGTAATCTGGGAACCTAAATCACTCTGGAGCCTTTGCTAGGCAAATCTGTACCCACTCTCAAGCACAGAGGTTTAAACAAATGAATTTTATTGGGTGGGAAGAGAAAAAGAAAGGTTAGGTTGATCTAGGACAAATATTTCCAGTTCAATACCTTCCACCACCCTTTACCTCGGGCTGCATAAATCACAGTCCCAAAGAATTAGACCCCGAATGGCTGATGCAGTTTGTTCTGCCTCCCAGTCTCCCATCTCAGTTCTTTGGTCCCCAGCTTCCTCACTCATAGTTTGTGATTCCAAGAGTCCAGGAGGACAACCAGGGTCCCTGTTTCGTAGGCAGCTCTCTGATTTCAGCAGCTAGGACAGGGAGACTCACCAGAGTCACTAGGCTGACAGACTGTTCCTATGAATTCCTCTGTTCTCGCTGTAGTGCTGTAGTGCAACTGCTCTCACTCTGCTGCTCTCCTATTGCAAGCTGTGACCTGCGGGTGAATCCAACGGCTGCTTTGCTCTGCCTGCTGCTCACGTGACAAAAACTGCTGCAGGGCTCTGACCTCTGCTTGCCACTGGCTAGACAACTGGAAGGCTCTGGTGATCTCTGCTCCCCTAATGCAATTATAGCTCTTAGCTTGGCTATTCTAGATATAAGGGGACCAGTGGTGTTATGAACCCCTCAGAATCTCTACTACCCAGAAACAATGCACGTTCTTTGCCCTTTCTCTCTGGCTTTGTCCAGGGCCTCTTACCCGACTAGGGTTGCCAACCCTGACTGAAGCTATTCCAGGAGATTTCCCCCCCCCAACATGACATAATGTCATTTTCTTAAAATAGCCTATCAAAATCTCCCGGATTGCTTTCACTAGTCACCAGGAGATTGATGCCGATTCCAGGAGACTCCAAGGCCAATTCTGGAGGGTTGGCCACCCTATACCCCACCTCAGCAAACATCACTTTCATCAGGATGACCTCATACCCAGTCATTGTCCAGGCTTTGCCCAGGGGGGTTCCCAACAGGGTAATCTCAAAAATATGGGCCCCAAGTACAAAACTTAGTCAAATTATATATCCCAGTGTCCCCAAACTACTTGCAGTTAATATGTAAATAAGATACTGCCTCACACAGTTAACTCCCCTTGCTCTCCAGTAGATGACAGCAGAGAACAGAGTTGATATTTAAATGAGGTACTGCCTCATTTAAACTCCCCTTGTTCTCCAGCAGATGCCATCAGAGAGCTCACTCAGTTACCTCCCATCTCTGGTAGGCGTCAAGCCACAGGGCTTACACAGAGAATAGGTGTAGCTGAGGCAGTAAATAGCACAAGTATCCTCAAAACTGCCTCAACAAAGTGGTTCAGCTGTGACAAAGAAGGGCCACTCCTAAATTTCCATGGCCCATTCAATCCTTGGCCTCTCTGCTAAGAAGTTATCAGTTAGTGTGACATAGACACTTGTCCCCTCAGAACTGAAATGAGTCCACCAAACAGCCCTCAGTTAGTGCTGAACTGGGCTGGAGTAGGACCAGTGATCCAGAGGTGAATCTATAGCCTATTACCAGTGCCCTGAGCTACGCAGTCCCCCAATTTTTTTTTCCCTTCAGCTCCGTATTCTCAAGGAAGGCTAGGTTGGAACAGTGAAGCACACTCTGGCAAAGGACACGGCTAAATACAGATTAATTGCATAAAAAGGTCACGTCAGATGACAGCTGTATAGGGCTTTGAATAAATATATATGACTAGGAATCTCAGGTATGTACAAAACACTCAAGAGTATAATTATGTTTCAACAGGAATCAAGACAAGCAAAACCAGGGAAAAATCAACTTAGTACTTCATGTCTTTAATTCCCTCAATTGTCTTAACAAGGCAGCAATTATCGAGCAACTGTGCTTCAACTAAGTCCAGATGCCAACAATATATGAAAACAATTTTACAATGAGCAGGTGATGATGCTGTGCTCTGTGCATTATGTTTTACAGGTTTGCAACTGGCCGTGACTGATACGTGCTTTATCTTTGAAAATATTACAGTTTCTCTGAAATGGCTACTCTCTCCCTATTCTGGCAACCTCTCCTGTATCATTAGCACTGGAGACGGACACACTATTGATCCCTATTATCCTCTAACGTAAGATGAAGCTTTTATACATGATTTTTTAGTTTTAGAGGCTTTGATATTTTGTGTTTCAAGTCGCTTAAAATTAGATGCTGCAAACAAAGCAGTGACAAGACATGCCGGCAAGATGGGTGGATTTTGCTGTAACTTGCTTTGAAATTGTTAAAAGCAGCAATGCCTATTCTGTCAAGCTGCCAGCCATGATCTTTCATGTGCTCAGTATGAGTGAATTCCTTTTCTTTCTAGTGGGCTTTCATCTAGATTCTGTACACACAAAATTATTGAGAAACCTGCTGCCCTTCTAAGGAGAAACTGCCAAGGAGTTTAAGGCTAATATTTTGGGGGTTTTTTTTCAAAGGGTATTTTTCCATACCGGATATTACTGAAAATGGTTCCATGGTGCTTTGTTTATCTTTATTTTCTTCTAATTCCATGAAAACTTGGATTCTTCATTGCTGACAATTTTAAATCAATACTGGATGTTTTTCTAAAAGTTATCCTCTAGGAATTATTTTGGGGATGTTCAATGGCTGGGGTTATATAGGAGGTCAGACAAGAGGGTCACAATGGTCCCTTCTGGCTTTGGAATCTATGAACTTTTTCTTTTAGCCACCAAATATTTTTCTGCAGTATTTGAAAATCACACTTTGCTGCATTGTTCTAGTGCAGGGAAATCCAGAGAAGGAATCAGCCTAAAAACTCATCCATCTACTTACATAATCCAAGATGAGCGAAATGAAAAATCAAAGAGCAGAAAGGGCAAAAAGTAAAGTGGCTGTTAAACATTCTTTCAGTGTTAATAGCTTAAGGTGTTATTAATGACACAGGTAAAGAGCTTTATAAAAAAAACCCAGTATTATTTTTAGTTTGACCATGTCTCAGCAAGTGAACATTTTTTATTGTTACCTCATTCCCTCAATCTCCCACTAACCCGGTTTGTCTGTTTCTGTCACCTGTTGTGTCCTGTTTGACACCTAGACTTGGTGCACTCTAGGGCAGGGATTGTCTCCTATGGCCTTGTCTTACTCGGAAAAAGTGGTCCAGTTGAGGTTGTGCTTAACTCATCTCAGCTAACTCATGCTAGCTAAATCCTATCTAAACTCAACCTTTTTCATAGTCAAGATAAGACCTTTATTATGTGTCTGTACGATGCCTACTGTAATATGACCCTGACCTTTGATTGAGCTTCCTAGGTGGTACTGTAATAAATAAATAGTTAATAAATAATGGTCCCAGGGATATTTATTTTCTCATTTATTTGCATTCCATGGTTTATCTCACCTCCTTATTCTGCTGTGGGCTTTGAGCAGGGCTAGACAGTATGGGGAGAGATTTTCAGAAGCCCTTAAGGGAAGTAATTGGGACTTGTGACCCTAAACCCCGTAGGTGCTTTGGAGTATTTCCCCTATGTTGTTACAAAGCCCAGTGGCTGCAGTAGCCTTTTCTATAGTAGTGTGCCTACCATTAATGCTGCTAGTAGAGCTGCACCAGTGTTAGCAGTGAGAAGACATTTTTGCCAACAAATCTAAACTATCACGAGCAGGACATGGACAGTCTGAGCTAGTGGTTGGAGCAGGAGTTGGGAGCCAGGTCAGATACCAGGAGATCAGATTCTGAGATATACCAGAGGGCAGACTGACAGTCAAGAGGCCAGCAGGGATTACCAGGAGATCAGAGTCAGGCAATAGGAGTAGGTAGCATCAGGGAAGCAGTCCGGGGGGGGGGGGGGGGGGGAACACTCACTTGCACGGACAACTTCCTGTTCATGGTTTAAATAGAAGCAGGGGACCAATCAGGACCCCCGGTGTTCCACCAATCAGATCCCAGGACTGGAGTCCTCTGTTGGAGTTCAGCTTCTAGTTCTGAGGACTTGTTAGCAAGTCACTGGGTAGCAGGTTGGAACTTACTGGTGCTTCGAGACCCGCAGTCCCCGACCCAAGTGTAGATAAGACCATGCTTAGGAAGAGGAAAATAGGCCAGCACTGGGATGATCTTGCAAGATGCTGAGTATCCTCTGCTCCCACTGACTTTAGCAGGAGGTTAAATGGGGATGAAAAATTGGGAGGGAAGAAATTTAGTGTGATCATCCTTGACATACCATGTTACAACATATGAGCTGGGGACAGGGAGACAAACTTAACCCTGGAATAATACGCAAGCAAAATAGGAATCAGTGTGGTTGCAGGAGATAACAATCTCCCGTAGAGCCATAATTCAGGAATGGTGGCCATTGCTTTCAGAGAATACAGCTATAAACCTCACAGCGCAACCTTCCATGACAATTGGATGTTCCCTTTGCATTTTAAGCTTGTCCAGCAATGTGACACACCGGTATACCTCCCCTGGAGAGTTTACTGTCTTCGTGGAATGCACAACCAGTGAATGGCACGTTACAGCACAAAAACTGGTGACTGTTCAGGATAAGATGGATCAGCTCAGCATTACTGGGTGCTACAGCAAGTATGAATCAGGAAACAGTTCTCACTGCAGGACCCTGTATGGGGAGATGTTATGGATCCAAGTTGAACTTAATGGAGGTGAGAGTAATCAGTTTGCACGGTTAAGTAGCAGGTTCAGTGGGCACAGGCTGAATCTCCACTAAGCAAATCTGTATTTCTTTAAATGAAAGCTTTCACTAAATGTTAACTTTCTCAAACTAACTTCACCCCATCCCTGTGCTAGGGAGGCTATGTTATAGCTTCTGCAACACTTCAGATGTGAGCACAAACCTTTTTCTCTTCTGGATATGTCTGACAATCAAGGAGCGCACAGGCCTAAAGAATACACTCTGCTCTTATTGGCACTGTGTTTAATAGTTAGAGCAGGGACACTGGTAGTCCCATCCCTTGGTTTCTGGCTCTGCACAGACTCGTTGTGTGACCTTGAGCAAGTCACATACCCTGGCTGTGCCTCAACTGCCCACGTGCATAAAAAATATAACAATATTGACTTACCTCAGATGGAGATTGTTAGGATTAATTCATATTTGTAAAGCATTCTGAGAACTTTGCTCTCAAGGTTCTCAGCTAACTTACATCAGCATACAGCCACTACAGTTATTAAATTGCTTGTGTGTGCACACTTGTCTCCTTGTGTCAGTGGTGCACGTCGTCACCAGGAGCACTTGTATGGATTGTATTGTCAGTGTGGGGCAAAGCTGCTAAATAACTGCAAAGGATGATAATTATATATTAGCGCTGGATAAATAATTCATTACAAATCATTTATTAGATGAATTTGTCACAAACAGACTGATTTTTCTCAAATGTATTTGTTATTCAAAATTATTTACAGAATAATTTCTATAGATGGTTCTTGGTCTGCAGCTTGTGTTGAACATTTTCAATAATCACTATTCATGCTGTTTTGATTGGACACATAGTGCTTGATCCTGCCAGGGAGCCGGGTGAACGCTCTGGCTCCAATCCAGCATGGCACATAAGCATGTGTTTAACTTTAAGCACAAGTCCCATTGAAGTCAACAGGGATACTCAGAGCCTTAAAGTTAAGCATGTGCTTAAGGGCTTTGCTGAATCAGGGCCAAAGTGCTCAGCACCTTATAGGAACATGTCCCATGACATATCTCTAGTCCTTGACTGGGTGATCAGAACTCTTAGAATAAGGCTTCTGGTCTGCATGCTCGTGATTAAGAATTCAATATTATTTGCTTGAATTTTGTTGTTTCCACTGACATTCCTTCCTTCATTTGTTAGAATATTCATAAAAAGCAAACACAAAAGGGGCACAAAAACAGATGAAGTGAATGAATTTAAAAATTGAGATGAATGTTTGCAGAACATTGTTGCAATAGTTGCCTGGCTCGGTTATTTATGCACCTGAATGTGACAAGGAACAGGTAGAGTTGGACGATCTGTGACCAAGTTCTAAAATCCTACTTTCCAGGTACTGGAGTGACCTACACTGTAACAGCTGACAATACAACTCTGATTGAATCCAGCGCAAAGGAAGGAATTGTCCCTCACAATCTGACGCTTGATGGTACCTCTCAGCAGCTGATTGGCCCAGGGGTGCATCAACTGGAAATCCTGGCAACCAGCAACACAACAACATCTGAGATTTCTGAAAGCATTGCTGTTCATTTAGTTGAACCTATATCTGGTCTTCAGGCTGCATTAGCCTCCCACACACTGGAAATGGGAAAAGACCTGGAGATAAATGTCTCCGTGGCTCATGGTGCACCAGATAAGCTGAAGTTTGAGGTGGTCGGGTCTAATGAAACTTACTCTCACCAGAAAGACAGCCCTAAAGGAGAATCTAGAATATACAGGATTCCTGTTCATACTGAAGGTACAGCTCACTAGCCTGTTACTTTTTCTCATACACAAAGAGTCTGAATTTTTTTTTTTTTTACTTTAGATTAAGGAAAGCAAGAAAGAACAAAAGTCAAATCTCCATGCGAGAGAGCAGTGTCTGTATCTTCTTTGCAACAGGCTGCAGCAATTCTGAGAACAAAATAGCTGCTGTCTCTGCACACAGACTGAGTTCAGATAGACTGAAAGGTGTCCTACATAGGAGACACGAGCATCACAGTTTCAGAGCTATATAGGCCACATAGCAGATACTGTATTTTTTCTCTCCTTTAATATTTCTTTGTAATTCTTTAATAAGGCAAATCAATAGTTACTGTCAAGTCTCAGTTTGACAAGACGTTTGTTGTGTGTCTGTAAGAAGGATGGGACATGCAGCTTGTTGTGCCCTCTGTGTGGCAGCTGTGCAGTTACATATTTTCTGTTTTCACTTCTTTGATTCAAGCAATTATTTTTGTGCAGCCTAAAGGCTCAGTGCCAGTTCTATACCAGTGTGACTCCGATGATTTGACTGGTGTCAGGTCAATGCAAACTTGGTGTAACGAAGTGGAGAACTGGGCCTTCAGTCTTTTGTTTTTCTAACAGATACAAGATCCGATACTTAGCAGCTATGTAATGACCAGAGCTGGGCTTTCTGGCATTGCAAGACATTGTACACCAGGCTTCGTACCATGACAGTGGTAGCACAACTTTCAAACTCTTGATGTGAGACAGTGCGGTTAAAGTGTTCTGTCTGGTACCTGGAGTTTGGAGAGGGCCCCACAATATCTGCAAGGCAACTGAGGGGCACACACTGTGCAAGCACATTTTGCTGGGAGGGCGGGGGGACAGTCCTAACAGACTCGGAGCGAGACTTGAGGCAGAAGCCACATTGTCTGGATGGAGTTGCTCTGATGTGGGTCGTCTTGGACTGGCAATCACACGGGACGGTTGTGTGTTGGCCCTGACTCCAGCTATTCTGTCTCCCTGGTGGGGATATTGTGAAAAGCTGCAAGTGTAACCCTCTCCCACTCACTGTGGTGCTCTCTCCCCCTCTAGTGGTGTCTGGGCCACACGTAGAGGTTGATAAGCCTGCCACAGCTTGGCAAACAGTAGATTTTGCCTTTTAGCTCAGGCAAGTGAAGCTCGTGCTTTTAGATTTAGAGGTCACAGATTCAATTCCCACTGCTGCTGACTCACCCAGAGTCAGGGTGTTACAGAACCCTATAACCTGGTGGAGTTTGCGATCCAGTGAAGTTCAGTTTGGAGGCAGGCAGGTTACATTGTTCCTGGATTTAACAATACCATGGGATAGTTGGTGCTGAGCTGTTTTCTGGGTCCGGAATTGGTGTAAATAAAACTGTAGTTGGAGGCTCAGAAGAGGGACAGAAGAAAGAGTTCTTTCCTCTGGAGCTAATTTGACTGAATTTTATTGGCCAATAATCGTAATTCTTGTAAAATCCCAAGAGCTCAATGATCAGATAACCCCTAAATAACTTATTTTAAAGATGTAGTTTATTCCAGTATTGCCTAGTAATTCACAAGTGAGGAAGAGGATTTCTTCATGAAGGCCTGGAACACAAAGTTGGATTTTATGACTCAAACATGTAGCTCCAGTGCACTGCTGCTGCTAATGCCCGATCTACCTTTGGCACCCTGTCCTTCCTAGGTACATTTGTGGTCAAGGTGCGAGCTATGAATGCCTTCTCGAACATGAGTCTGGAGATTGGGAGCATCACCGTATTGGCCAACAATTCTCTTAAAGAAGGTAATAATGCTTACCTAACACTGCTGTTTGCAATCATATTCTGTGACCCTTTACAATAAATCAGTTCACTGCACAGAGTGTTTGCATGGTCTGTACACAGGACTCTAATAATTGCTTCCCTCCAGAGCCAGTACTGATAATCCTCTTGGACACTCTGGGGAAAGAAACCAGAGCCTACATATATACTAATTGACTCTCTTGCTGCTAATCTCAGTAGAGAGGCAAGAGACTGACTAGGCATGGAGAAGGAAAAACATGCTCCTCACCCAGTACGGGAGTCTCCTTATATAGGGGAGGAGGCAGGTTGGCTATGCAATACAGGGAAGCCGGCATTGCTCGTTCTGGTATTGTCTCATTCAACCCCAGTTGCACTACAGAACCATTGGAAGTTTTGCCACTGACTTCAATAGAGCAGGATCAAGCCCTATATAAGAAAATGAACTTCCAAGGACTGTCCATTATGCACCTCTTACCAGCTCTCAATTCACTTTAAAAATAAAGTGAGAGATACAAGAACGTATAACATTCTCAATTTAAAAAATCCTTCACAAAAAAAGGCCAGTAGCTTCTTATTACTTTTGCCTAATGACGAGAGCTACCCTGGCTTTGAAGTGGTCCCAGGTTGGGGTCTCTCCGCACAAGGGTACACATTGCACATGTGCTGTTTGTGCTAGAAAGAATTAGTTACAGATGTGGCCTGGGAAATACCTCCAGATGTTGTGTAATACCTGAATCTCAGCATAACGTGAACTGCTGTTGACAAATAACATGCTGCTAGATAGCTCAAGTCGCAGCTACATTCCTACTAGTGTAAAGATAGTGATACATTTGATCCAATGAACGAATGGGCTATTGTAATAACACTGAGCCCTTAATTTCCACTGCTCTTTCTCAAATTGTCTTTGCACCCCCACTTAGGCTGCAAGCTCTTTGGGGCACGGACTGTCTTTTTGGTCAATGTTTGTAGTTAGCACAATAGGATCCTGGTTCATCATTAGAGCTCCTATGCACCATGGTAATACAAATAAAATTCTGATTTTTATTTCACTTGCACCAGTTTAACTCCATCAACTTCAACGAATTTACTCCTGATTTACCCCACTGTAAGTGAGAGGAGAAGCGGGATCCTCCTCTTTATATTAGTTGCTTGTTGTTATTATTTTGCCCGTTGCAACATTTCTGCTTATCATAACCTGGGAGTTTGATTCCTGTAACCCTGACTTTCAAACAGATTGCAGGCAAATCATGATTTATTTAAGTCATAATGCTCAGTCACTGCTGTCTGGCAGCCTCACAAATGGCAGTAAAACATTCTGTTATCTTCTTTATATTTAACAGACTCGTCTCAGAACAAAGGCAAATCCAAAGCAAACATCCGAAAGACAAATGTGAGTATTGTTCAAAAGGTATAACCTTAGGCGGAAAAGCTAAGAAATACCTCTTGGTTGTTAAAGTACTGCCTGAAGAACATTTGCAACACACATAATTATGGACCCGATTTTCCATGTTGCTGAGTACCATCAACTCCTGTTGACTTTATTGGGTTTAAGAACACAAGAACAGCCATACTGGGTCAGACCAAAGGTCCATCTAGCCCAGTATCCTGTCTTCCGACAATGGCCAATGCCAGGTGCCCCAGAGGGAATGAACAGAACAGATAATCATCAAGTGATCCATCCCCTGTCGCTCATTCCCAGCTTCTGGCAAACAGACAGTATCAGCTCCAGGCACCAGCGCAGGAAGCAGGTGCTTGGGGCGGCCAATGGAAAGGGGTGGCACGTCCGGGTCTTCAGCGGCAATTCGGCGGCAGGTCCCTCAGTCCCTCTCGGAGGGAAGGACCGCCCGCCAAATTGCTCCCGAGGATGAAGCAGGGCGGTAGAGCGGCCACCGAAGGGCGGCCGAGCGCGGCTTTTTTTTTTTTTTCTTCGCCTCTTGGGGCGGCAAAAAAGCTGGAGCTGGCCCTGCAAACAGAGGCTAGGGACACCATCCCTACCCATCCTGGCAAATAGCCATTGATGGATCTAGTTCTTTTTTTAACCATGTTATAGTCTTGCCCTTCACAACATCCTCTGGCAAGGAGTTCCACAGGTTGACTGTGCATTGTGTGAAAAAATACTTCCTTTTGTTTGTTTTAAACTTGATGCCTATTAATTTCATTGGTGACCCCTAGTTCTTGTGTTATGAGAAGGAGTAAATAACACTTCCTTATTTACTTTCGCCACACCAGTCATGATTTTATAGACCTCTATCATATCCCAGTCTTATTAATCTCTCCTCATATGGCAGCCATTCCATACCCCTAATCATTTTTGTTGCCTTTTTCTGAACCTTTTCCAATTCCAATATATCTTTTTTGAGATGTGACGACCACATCTCCACGCAGTATTCAAGATGTGGGCGTACCATGGATTTATATAGAGGCAATATGATATTTTCTTATTATCTATCCCTTTCTTAATGATTTCCAACATTCTGTTTTTTTTTTTTTTTTACTGCTGCTGCACATTGAGTGGATGTTTTCAGAGAACTATCCACAATGACTCCAAGATCTCTTTCTTGAGTCGTAACAGCTAATTTATACCCCTATATGTATAGTTGGGATTATGTTTTCTAAGGTGCATTACTTTGCATTTATCAACATTAAATTTCATCTGCCATTTTGTTGCTCAGTCACCCAGTTTTGAGAGATCCTTTTGTAGCTCTTCGCAGTTTGCCTGGGACTTAACTATCTTGAATAGTTTTGTATCATCTGCAAATTTTGTCACCTCACTGTTTACACCTTTTTCCAGATCATTTATGAATATGTTAAATAGGACTGGGCCCAGTACAGACCCCTGAGGGACACCACTATTTACCTCTCTCCATTCTGAAAACTGACCATTTATTCCTACCCTTTGTTTCCTATCTTTTAACTAGTTACCAATCCATGAGAGAACCTTCCCTCTTATCCCAGGACTGCTTAGTTTGCTTAAGAGCCTTTGGTGAGGGACCTTGTCAAAGGCTTTCTGAAAATCTAAATACACTATATCCACTGGATACCCCTTGTTCACATGCTTGTTGACCCTCTCAAAGAATTCTAGTAGATTGGTGAGGCATGATTTCCCTTTACAAAAACCAAGTTGACTATTCCCCAACAAAATTATGTTCATTTATGTTTCTGACAATTTTGTTCTTTTATTCTTTACTATAGTTTCAGTTGAGATGCTTAGCACATCACATGACTGGGCCCTCTAAATCTGAGGCATTGCTACCTAGAATATTAGATTAACATAGAATCCACACTTTATATCTTTGAGGCAAATACATTCTTTAGATCTGTTCTAAAGCTCTTAGTAAAAGCCAGCCAATAAAAATAAACAGACTAGAAAACTCATTTCTCCCAATGACTGATCCTACTTGGACTGAAATCCTCTTACAGTTTTTTAAAAAGTCAACTAATTTTTTTTAATCCAGCTTCTGAGAAGGTATTCATTAAATAGAATGTCCCAAATTTATTTTTAATGCCTTTTTACATTGTTTCTAAAGATTTTTCTGCCCCCGTTGGTGTTTATAAGGGTCTTTTCAGCAAAGGAGAAGCTAACAGTCTATTGAGAGTAAAGGATGAAATTCACGATACCTTAAGTACAGTCAAATCCACAACATTAAACGAACTGTAAAAACTAATTAAAAATAATGGTTTTGTTTTCTTTGCAGTGTAATAATCTTAAGGGTTACTTGTAACTATAGCAAGTACAGAATTTCACACGGAAATGATTTTCAAGACAACAGTATCCCTTAAAAACAGACTTCACTCAAAACAGAAACTATGTCAGAAGAACAGGAGACATTACTCATCTTTATGGCTAGAGCCATTATGTGTCAGAACGCTGAGAAACAGAAAAAACACATCATTATTCATGTGTGACCTATTGTAAGAGGAAGAATTGTCTGGTGGTTACAAGCACAAGACTAGGAGTTGTGACATCTGGGTTCTAGTCTCAGATCTCCTATAGACTTTCTGTATGACCATGGACAAACCATTATTTAAGCTGATTGGGGGCCTAATTTTTTTAGCCCTGGCTCTCTCTGCTAATAGCACACTTCAAATCCCTTTTTCTTATTCATTATAAAATAATGAAAGGTTAGACATCTGTTCACGCACATTGCTGCTCTAATTGGTACTTTCACTTCTTGTTTAGGATGACAAAAGGAAAAATAAAATATACATTAAACCTAGTCGCCATGTGGATCCGTTCACAACAGTTACCCTTGACTGGCCAGATGACAATAATAATTCTACCTTCACCTGGGCGTGTGGTATGTGCAGTGCATGTTTTGACTTTTTCCTACCATTAGCTAGCTGCCTAATGGTAACCTCACCATCATACTGGATGTGCTGTGCCAGTCTGACTGTAGGAGGGTATAGACCCCCACCTGGCTTTAAACAAAAGCTACATGCTCGTTGTACAGTCAAAATATCACGCTTCATGCTAATTCCACCATACTACTACATGGACCCCAGTCTAATCTTCTCCCTAGGGATGGCTGCTCCTCGAGCTCCATCTCTCAAGATGTGTATCCCCAACCCTGAGCCCCCTCTGCCATGGATCTACTTCCACCTGACCCATATTCAGAGTCTTATGAGGCAGCAGTAATTAACTGGCAGCTCCCAGCAGAGTTCCAACGCCTGACTGCAGAGGGCGACGGTGCTGTCAAAGTATCATATCCCCTTTTTACACTGAGGAGAAGCAGGCTGGCTGTATCTGAAGCTGGGGGAGGCTTCTGTTTTTCTGCAGCAATGAAAAAGCATTCAAAGTTTAAAATTGGACCGGAACTCCAGAGATCTGGCTTCTTTCCTCTGCCACTGGGCAGATGGGCCACTCTGGTTAAGTCACTTCACTTCTCTGTGCCTCAGTTTCCCCATCTGTGAAATAGGGATAAAGGAGCTTGCCTCCTTTGTGAGGCATTTTGAGATCTACGTCTGAAAATCGCTACAGACGAGCCAGATATTATTACCAACATTAAAAAGGAAATGTTTGTGCAGGGGCTTGCTGGCCTGGGTGGCAGGAATGTGTGCAGCATCAAGTAATCCCCACTGACCAGAGCATGGCACAGATCCCGCCTGCCTGCCTGCCCCCGCCAAACTCAGCGGTGACCCTGCAAGTGATAGTCAGAAGCCATGGAAAAGAAGAGAAGCAGGACGAGCAATGTCTGTACGTGACTGCCAGACAAGAACTGCGCCCAGAAATCAGGTCTGCCTTGGAACCGTAGTACTTATTCCCCATTCTTATTGCTACATTTCCTCCTGCAACCACTGAAATCAATGAGAGTAATGAGCCGATTTTCAAAAACATCGAGGGGCCTATCTGCATCTTTAGGCATCTAAATACCTTTGAAAATATGGCCCTTAGGAGCCTAAGTTTCATGAGACTTAGGCCTGGTCTACGCTACAGACTTAGGTCGATGTAAACTGCCTTATGTCGACCTAACTTGTAGCATCTACACTAAAATGCAGCTCCCACTGATGTAACTCGCCCACTACACCGACTTAATAACGCCGCCTCTGCAAGAGGCGTAACACTGAGGTCGATGTATTCAGGTCGACACAGTGACACTGTAGACACTGCATTGCTTACATAGGCTGTTGCTGCCTTTCAAAAACGGTCCCACAATGCCCCACACTGGCAGTTAAATTGGTGCAAGCGCTCTTGGTCAGGCCGTGCACCGCTGACACCAGGAGCGTAGTGTGGACATGTAAAACCAATTCAATTACTGCAGGGGCTGTGCATCGTTGTAACTTAGATTGATGTAATTTTGTAGTGTAGACTTGCAAAATTTTGTAGTGTAAACTGAGCCTTCTAAGGCCTGGTCAACACCTAAAACTTAGGTCGACTGAGCTACATTGGTTAGAGGTGTGAATTTAAGAATTCTTCCATTGACCTAGCAACCACCTCTCAAGGGGGTGGATTTAGTACAACAACAGAAAACTCCCTTCTGTCACTGTAGCAAGTGTCTACACTACAGCTGTGCCACTGTAGCATGTGCAGTGTAGACACATCCTCAGTACCTCTGCTCCTTTTGAAAATAGGACATAGGCTTCAAAGTCACTTGGGAGTTTTTGAAAATGTTGCTGTTTGTGACTTCTATGTACCACCTGCCTCATAACCCACGAGTTCGGCAGATTCCGACCAAAAGATGGAAAAAATAAGGTGGGCTTTTAGCTGGGAGTACTGTCATCTGTTGGTGCATAATTATTGTCTTGCCTTCCTTCTAGGTGTGAGAAAAACTGCAAGCTAGTGAATGTCACTGCAGAAGTTGCTTTGAGAGCCACCATGCAGGAAGGCTCCCACGCCGTACAATATAACTGGTATTTAGATAACACATTCCAGTCAAAGGTGAGATGAGTGGGTTGGTCAGGAATGCTGCACCCACAAAAAATAAACACCCCGATTGAAAGGAAGCCCTTTGAGGTAGGGGTGGGGGTGTCTCCCTAGGTACCTTTAAGGCATTTGCTGCCAGTGGAGATAATCATGATAATTGCATGTGTAAAAGCAGGCACACAGTTGCACATGCATTTTTCACACAGATTTCAAATCTTGTCACGTATATTCAGGTGGACGAATGTTTCACCAAATATCATTCATTCTTTGTCACTATTAGTGCACCGTACTCCCATGTATCATAGCAGGAAAAACTCCTGCTGATGTCAACAGGTATGTTTTTTTAATAAAGGTTTCAGAACTGGGTCTATAGACAATGTAGCACACAGAACTCTCTGGATGGAAATCACAGTAAACAGCCTCTTCTGCTTTGTTAATTTTCCTGTTGGGTTTTCCAGCCTCCCTCCCTCTCTTCAGTCTGCAGTCTGAAGGGTTTCCGACAGAGCTCCTTGACTTTGCTTCAGAGCAACAGATCTACATTGGTATTGAACAGCTCCTTTCTGCAGGCACACGGAGAAGCATTTCGGATTAAAGTAACAGGTGGGGAAAGCCAGAGTTTCAAAAACTCCACCGAGATACAATCTCTTTGCAATATGGAGACATCGTACACAGTAGGAGAAGAAACATTTTAAAGGACAAATATGCTGTTAAATAATTTGATGCACTGAATGCCATTATGTTTACAGTGACTCTTTTCTTAATTTTGCCAGAATATGATGTATAGTATGGTACACACAAAAGCACAGAGTAGAGGTGTGGCAAAGCTGCAACTGAAACACATCTCTGGTGGCTATATGTGGTATTGCAATAGCTGTGCCTCAGTTTGTCCTGTGCGTTCTATGGCCGATTTCAGCCATTGGTGTGATCTGGCCTTCCTGCCAAAGCAGGTAACAGAGTCCAACCCTTCTCAGGGTCTCAGAGTACTTCATTTAATGTCCACCAGAATGTAACAAAACAACTGAATCTTCAGCCCATCTGGGCTCAGCTGGGTCGCCACCTTCTTTTCAAACCATCCCAACACCAGCCCCAGGTCCCGGATTTCACTCTCACCGCCAAAGGTGGTCACACTCTCCCGCCACCCATGGTTTCAGGCAGGCTGCAGTCCCTGATCAGCCCCTATCTCCAGTCAGGCTTCCAGCTCAGAGCTCAGCCACCCAGGCTTCTCTCAGGCCTCAAGAGAAAGCTCTCAGCTACCATTCCTCCCTGGCCTCTCCTCTGGCAGACCTTTGCTTCTTCCTTTATGAAGACCCAGCCCAACCCTAGCTGTGTTTGACCACCAATTGGGCCAGATCCCCCTTCAGGCAGGAATGCTGGAACAATTTGTACAGTGGGGGTGCTGAGAACCATTGAACCAAACTGTAATCCCTGTATATGATGGAAACCACTTCAAGCTAGGGGGTGCCTTCAGGTGTAGCCTGGTAGGTTAATTGGCCTCTCAGGCCACTTTAACCCTTTTGTCACCTGTACACCCCACACAAGCAGTAATTTAAGGTGAGTGAGGGCTTGTCTATATGAACACTTAGTTTGTGACAAGTTGGGGGGGGGGGAAATCTACCCCACAATGGCATGCTCTGCACCAGGGGTCTATGTGGACCCTGCTGCCATTTGCTAAAAGTACCCTAGTGCACTTTAGCCTACTCCCATTTCAAAGCAGAGTAGTGCCCAGCTGCAGGGTCCTTACAGACACTTAGCACCTGGCAGGCTAGTGCGGGGTATATTTACACTCTAGCTTGCCACAAACTAAGTATTCGAAAAGACAAGCCCTGATTCAACAACCCTAATCCAAGATGATATTAATCATCTGATTTGGACACATCTGGACATGGCTCTACGATGAATATTCAATTTTATAATCCAGCTTCTCTTTACACGGGAAATAAAACCATGTTTGTATAGTGCTGTCTATGCTATAGATTAGCCTATGAAGATATCTCAGCTCTGGTTAGATAACATTGCCACTCCCAGAGCCTGAACAAACTGCATCATTATTAGCATATGATGCTCAGTGGTGCTGAAAGTCATCAGAAGATGATCACTGATGTTTTCCCTCTGAACTTTCCAGCAATGACTCAGAATAAATATGGCGACGAAACTTACATTGTCAGCATGGTGCCCTCACCAATGGTCCCAGTCTGTGCTATATCCCCCAAGGAGGGATCGGTGCTCACCAGCTTCACAATCTCCTGCAGTACTGCCTGCTCGGAGGACTCCTGCCCCCCTGCACACAGCAGTCTGCTCACGTACTGCTTCTACCTGAAATCAGGTATGTTCTGGGGCTGGTTTGTTTGAATGGCAGCTTCCCTGTGTGTGCACCCAGCCTTGTACTTCCATCACTAACAAGAGCACAGGCGTAACCCACTGCTGCTGCTGGCCAGATAATAACTGGCCGGTCTCATACCCTCAACTCGGACAGAGTAGCCCCTTGTTCTGCACATAGGGTTGTTCACTTTAAACTTGTGGAGAAAGATGCAGCCCTTGCTCAACCTGGCCCTATGACAGCGGAAAGAAAAACCAGGTACGAACAGGGCATATATGTATAAGAGGGCCATGACCTTTATGATAGTTTCCCTTTAGAAACTGCAGGAGATTTTTAAAGGCTCCCTTTAAGGATTGTGGAATCACCTTAGGCAAGGAATCTGAATTTAAGGGTCATTATTAATTTTTCCACAGAGGAGTTATTTTAATTTTGCAAATCAAAGCAAAGAGACATGATTCCATGGTGATAACTACAGGCCCAATCCTGCGCGGCGCTGAGTGTCTCTTTGGAGGATGCTGAGCTGTTCAGTAGGGTGTGAAGTATATGATGGGTAACACTGTCTTTCTCTTTCAGGCTCTCTCCTGAACTGTGGCCCACATCCTGAACTCCTATCGGTATATCTTCCCCTTGGAGAAGAGGAAAATAACTTTGTTTTACATGTTACAATTACTGTCAGCAATAACTTTGGTGACATGGTTCAGACTGATGCTACTGTCAAGGTACACGGAAAAATCATTTCCCTTCTAGGCCTCTCACTGCCAATAGCTAAACCTGTGATTCTGGGGGATTGGCCACCTTCCAAAGCCTCCTCTCCCCATTCTATACCCATTACTCTCTTGTGATCCACAGCCACCATCCTCCATCCTTCTGACGAAGGAGGACTAGACAAGCTTCCTTGTAGCATCCCATGTGCAGCCAGCAGTTTCTTCCATCACAGTTTGTTCAGGCCAGAATTTAGGGAGACAGTGAACAGCACAGGCTATGTATAGTTAGTCTGGGAGTTAAAAAAAACAGAAAAATACCAGAACCTGTCTCCAGGGGGCCCAATTATAAATCTTTATATTTATTAAAAGAATGTGCACCACTGCTTCATCAGTGTTACTCAATGGAGTTACTCATCACTCCGCTGATTTCAATGGCATCATACTGGAGTAAGACTGAAGTACTGCAGAGGTGAATTGGGCCCTCTCTCTCTTCTCTAACATGAAGGATACTACTACCTATCAGTATCTTTCTTTAGTCCGTCAGGTGGACCAAACCAGATGCATCTCTAGAAGAGACTGTAACTGTTTTGTAAGTTAAGAGTTGGAAACTTTTGATCAAAACATTTTTTCAGATGAAAACAGAATATGTTTTTTAAACAAACGCTTCTGCAAATGTTGTTTTCTTTTTCCTGGGTGGTTCTAAAGACGGTTGGAAAATTTCATTGGAAAAAAAAGATCCCTGAAAAAAGGGGGAACAAACTCAGTTTCTTGATCAGCTCTCATTATGAACACCGCTAGGATGATAATGGAGGTTGTGAAAGGGTAATAATACCAGCAGGCAGCAGTAACAATGCTGTGGGCATGTCTAATTGCATCATCAGGTTCGACGTGAAGATATGAACACTGGGAACCAGACCCTGCAGGCCACTCTAGCTGAGAAAGCAAATGCCATCCTAAAAGAAGGAAACAACAGCATGTCCCTGTTCCAGCTGTATAAGTCAATGTCTTCAGTCCTTAATCAGGAGAGCCAGGGAGAGACCTTTAATACATCTCTGCAGACCGACACCCGAAGGGAGGTCAGACAGTGGTTTATTTTCTTACACTACAATGATGCATTTTCCGTTTTCTGTAAAGACCATGGACGATTTCTTGAGTAGCACCAAGGGCTTACAAACCTCCTTCCAAAGTCAATGGGAGTTGTAGGTTCTCAGTATCTCTCAGGATTTGGGCCAGCATTTGCCATAGGTTTCAGCTAAAAAGAAGCAGCTGTTCATTTCTCACCACTGGCCCTTCTGAGTCATTGACTTTTCACCCCTTCCATATCAACATTCTCCCTCTTGGCTATCCCAGCACCACCTCCCTGAGTGCTGCTAATGGCATTGCACTTACCCAGAGACTGACTGCGGGAAGCCAGTCCCTACTAAAGCTAGGGCACTGGCCCACCAGCAGCCAGTGGGGGATGCTCAAAAGGGGTGAAATCTCTTCCCTACCCCAGGCCCCTTAGAAATAAGAGCAATCCCTCTGTGATTCTCCAAACCCTCTCCCCCTGGACTGAGGTAATAGAGCCCCAACATCTGTCTTGATTCTGAAAACCCTAAGTAAAACTGCATGCTAAAAACATCATTCACGTTGAATTTAGTGGGGATCTCTCAAGGGTGAGAGTACGGCTGGAGCAGGGAATTGGGGGTCAGGACTCCTGCATTCCCAGCTTGGCCACTATTTGTGGACTGGACCTGTTTGCCTGTGTGTGTTACACACCTCACATCAATGGGATGAGGCTCAGTTCAGGTGTGGGATGAGGCTCAATTAAATGTTTCCACTGCCTTGAGCTCCTCAGAGGGAAAGAGGCTAGAGAAGTACAACATACGCTGAATTCATCAGCTATGATTTGTTGTTCTTCTGAGCCAATCGTCTGCAATTCTGCTTTCAGTGGAGGTGGTATTTATACACTAAGGCCTATACATTCATCCCAACGGGTAGGAATTCACACAAGTAGTTTTCATTACTGTTAATGGATGTTATATGTGTAAATCCCCTGTGTCTCAGAGTGACAAAATATCCCTGTGATTATACAGTCAATAGCTATGGAAAGTGGCAATTTGCAAGTAGAGCTAATGCTAGCTTGAATTATCCATCCTGGGGAGTTTGTTTCTGCCATTAGATCTATAGCAAACTAGACTGTCAATATGCAGCAGTATTTACATTTACAGTCTCAATTAACATCTTTGTTTCTGTCTCTAATTATCTCCTTTCATCCCAAGCTGAGAGAGCTGATGCTGACAACTCTGGCTGCTGTTAATGTAACATCAATACAGACTGCTCTTAAGATGTCAGAGGTACTGAAAGAAACCACTTACAGGAGCGAAGAGCTCTCTTCCTCAGCACAGGTAAGCAGCGCTTTGATCCACATCTCCACCCACAGAACCACAACCCCTGGCCTTGGGAGAGCATCACTACTTGCAGTAGCCTGTTCTTTATTTAATGTTTCAAAGAGCAGGGATCATGTCAGGAGACAGTATTGTCTAGAGTGGGAGACGGGGAATCGGGGCTCCCGGGTTCTATTCCTGGCTCTGCCACTAACTCAGTGACCAAGCTATAAAATAGGTATAATAATACTTAGCTGTTTCACAGGTGGGGTAATTCATTCATGCCTATAAAGCACTTTGAGATCCTAGGATGAAAGGTATTGCTATATAAGTGCAAAGCTGAGTTATTCCAAAATCCATTTGACTTCATGCTTGTAACTTCCTGGCATTTGCCTTATTGTCATGCTCCCACTGAACTAAATGTTACAAGCAGCTTTCCACAAGAGGCGTTTCACAGCAGCAGTACCTGGGCATAGCTGTTCAGCTTTACCATAAATGCTAGGAGTCCCTGAATGTTACTTGAACAACATTATATAATCAGTAGATGGTGCTGTTTGTTTCAATGTTCATCCCAGTGTTTCTTGTGCTGTGCTGTTAGGGAAGCGAGTCAATGGGGAAGGGACAGAATAATTCTTTTGCAGGCTGTTGTTTTCCCAGTACACTAGCAATAAAAAAACAGTTTCTCCTGATTTCTGAGGCTGTTTCAAATGTTTCAAATGCAGCCAGGAAATGAGGCTGGAGTATTTCAGCAATGGCTAGTAACCAAGATAAAAATGTAGCTCAGTCAGATTCATGAGCAGAAGCTTAAGATTGAAGCTGCTGGGGTCGTAGATCTGAGGGATAGGCAGTGGCTGCACTGTGTAGTAAAATTTGCACAGCCCCTTGACCACTCTGGGCCTTGCTCCTGGCACTGTAATTATTACCTTGGTTTCATGATCACAAAATAATCAGTGCCTATACTTAGGCATAAATGGGAATGCACAGCACCCTTCTATCTGCAGTATGGAGCACAGGGCATGGAGAGAGGTAATATTTGTTGATAAACTGATAGGTTTCATGGAGAAAAAAATTGAAATACGTTAACTACATACATTTAACAATATAGTACCATTTCTTGGGTACCATGACAGGGACACTCATCTCTCGTGGGATGCTGCAATCCTTTTTCTCCCCCACTCTGGGCACCTCTGTAGGTTGTTCACCTCACTAGGTGAGTCTTCAGTGGCTCAGCCCTCCAGCCAAGTCACACAGTCCAACAGTGAATGGACCCCTAATGGTAGCAAAGAGTTCAGCACACTGTCTGCCCTCACCAGTGTCTTCAGCCCTGTCTCAGGGCCCCTTTAAATCCTGCCTTGCACTTGGGCTTCCCAACAGAGCCTGTCCCCTTCTTGGGTCTTAAGCCACTTTGCTAGAGGGCCAGTGGAAGGGACCTGGGCCTGCCCATTATTATGGGTGCTAGCCCAGGGGTCTTACTCAGAGCAGCCCTGTACGACTTCCCTCAGTTTGCTGCTGCTATTCCCTGGGCCTTTTCCCCTGTAGCCCCTTTCTCTTCACCCCGAATTTCTCAACTCCTCTTCCTCCTCACTGAATACAAGTACCACCAGAACCCATCTTGTGGCTCTCACATGTGCTCCTGTAACCAGGAAGGGGCACCCTTCCTTGCTTCTCTAGTCCCAGCCAGGAACTAACCTGCTTAGCCCCTGCAGCTCCTTTTATCTGAGGCTGGTGGGCTCTGATTGGCTTCTTCTATTCAGCCTCTCTAGGCAGGCCTAAAGGAAACACCTTCGTTGCTCCTTCCTGGAGCAGAGTGAGGTAGGACTGCAGGGCCTCCAGCAGGGGGCCCCGAAAGGCCAGGTACACCCCATCACACATACAATACACCAGGGGTCGGCAACGTTTGGCACACGGCTCGCCAGGGTAAGCACCCTAGCGGGCCGGGCCAGTTTATTTACCTGCTGACGCGGCAGGTTCGGCC